ATACTATACTATACTATACTATACGATAATAATACTATAATAATACTATACGCCTCAACACTATGTAAATTACTGATTGTTTTATTCTTTTTAGAACTCAACTTTTTGTTAAAGTCTCTGGCTGTGTCCACAGATTCTCTTTTTCTCTCTTTTTCTTTCTTTGTTCCACACCTTTAGGTCAACACAAACACACACCATTTGTTACCACATTCCTGTCATCTGCATGAATTAGGACCTGGCCTGTTCATGCCCAGAGGTAACTGGCCAATAGGACTTGGTTATGTCCAATCCTCATTTGAGATAATGCCCATCACACCCAGATGTCAGGGCTTTGCCTGTGACCTAATAAATTTAATTTTTTACTCTTGATCTACTCTGGTTTATTCTCTGGTTTCCAACTAAAGAACCGGGTTGACAGGTGGATTAGTGAAATTGGTCTTACCATTGAGGAAGGTCTTCACAGGACAGGCCTCATGGTAGGACACACACCCCCCGTTTTCCAGCACCTTCCCCTTCTCACAGGACAGGCAGGCGTCTTCCTCGGGGCCGTCGCACTTCGCACAGTCTGAGTGACACTCCTCGCACTCGTTGGAGTCCTCGTCGCCGTAGAAACCGTCGGGGCACTCGGAGACACACTCTCCCTCTGCGGGGAAAAGGGGAGATCCTAATTTGATTTCCGCCGTTTCCAGTGGTCCTGCTTTGCCTGGAGGGGAAGTTCCCCACATCAAAGAGTGTTTACAGTGCTAATGCACACGGGAGGAAACGAGTAAAGCCTTCTGTGGAGGCATCTAACAGCAAAAAAAAAGACTGTTTCTTATGTTTTCCCGTCTACGATGAACTAATGCCAGCCTCCGTCAAAAATGCCTTATTTGCAAATATCAAATATCCAACATAAAGCATGAAGAAAAGTGTTTTTGTATCAAATCCAAATATAAGATGTTTCTTCTCAGTTCCAGATATGACCTTTATTTACATGCTTCAAACCTTCTGGGCCTTAAAGTGTGTTCAGTTATCAACAGACCAACCAGTCGTGTTAAAGGTTTCTCATCCATAGACAGCAGTTGGTGTTTGTTCTGGCATCTCAGAGGACATCTAAAAGGATAATATTCTCCTCCTGTCTGTTTTCCAGTGGCCTGTTTCAAGCTGTTATCTTTCGGATGATGAGAACCAAACAAAGGACAAACTCCTTCTCAAAGTGCTCGTAACACAACTGTGTAGAAGGTCTCTTTTGAAAGCTTTGGCCCACAATTCACAGTGGAAACAAGCAAATTAAAAGAAGTCTGGACTCTGAGGATGTTTTAGGAATGGAACGGGGAGATATTTACAATAAACTGTTTAATCAGTGCATTCAATCAATCAACCCCATAATTGTTCAAAAGTATTTTTTTCTCTTTGACTTTTTTTAATTGTTTTTTTTTTCCAAATTGATTATTAAGTTTTGGATTTTCATGCGCAAATCAAAAATACAGTGAGTCCAAGAAGTATTTGATCCCTTGCTGATTTTCTTTGTTTGCCCACTAATAAAGATGTGATCATTCTGCACGTTTAATGGTAGATGTATTCTAACATGGAGAGACAGAATATCACAAAGAAAATCCTGAAAAAAAATCGAAGGAATATATATTAATTAATTTGTATTTTATTGAGGGAAATAAGTATTTGATCCCTCTAGCCAAACACAGTCAATACTTAGTGGCAAAGCCTTTGTTAGCAAGTACAGCAGTGAGACGTTTGTTGTAGTTAACCACAAGTTTAGCACACACACCAGGGGGAATTTTCGCCCACTCTTCTTTGCAGATCCTCTCTAAATCAGGAAGGTTGGTGGGCTGTCGCTTGGCAACTCTGACCTTCAGCTCCCTCCATAGATTCTCAATTGGATTGAGGTCCGGAGACTGGCCGGGCCACTCCATGACCTTCATGTGATGTGTCTTGAGCCAATCCTTTGTTGCCTTTGCTGTATGTTTGGGGTCGTTATCATGTTGGAAGACCCAACCACGTCCCATTTTCAGCTTCCTGGCAGAAGGGATGAGGTTGTCCCTCAGGATTGTACGGTACATGGCTCCATCCATCTTCCCAGTGATGCGGTGAAGTAGCCCTGTACCCTTGGCAGAGAAACACCCCCAAAACATTATGCTTCCACCTCCATGCTTGACGGTGGGCACAGTGTTCTTGGGGTCATAGGCAGCATTTTTCTTCCTCCACACATGGCGGATAGAGTTGAGCCCAAAAAGTTCAATTTTGGTCTCGTCTGACCACAGAACCTTCTCCCAATAACTTGGTTCATCTTTCAGGTGATCATTGGCATACTTAAGGCGCGCCTCCACATGTGCCTTCTTGAGCAGGGGTACCTTTTGGGCACTGCAGGATGTTAGTCCATTGTTGCGCAAAGTGTTGCCAATTGTTTCCTTGCACACTGTGGTCCCAGCTGCCTTCAGGTCATTTACCAACTCCTGACGAGTGGTTGCAGGATTATTTCCGACTGTTCTCAGGAGCATTGTCACCCCAAGAGGTGAAATCTTCTTTGGAGCACCAGGACGAGGTCTATTGATGGTCATGTTATACTCTTTAAATTTTCTAACAATTGCACCAATAGTTGTTACTTTCACATCCAACACCTTGCTAATCTTTTTGTAGGCCATTCCAGCTTTGTGGAGGTCAACAACCCTGACTCTGAGGTCCTGAGACAGCTCTTTGGTCTTACCCATGTTGGAGACTTGAAATCTGTCAGATTGTCTGATTCTGTGAACAGGTTTTTTTTTCACACAAGTGAGTAGTGAGAACAGGTGGCTTCAGTTCAGGTAACAAGCTGATTGGGAGTGTCTAACTGCTCTGTGAAAGGCAGGACTCCTAATGCATACTGAGGGATCAAATACTTATTTCCCTCAATGAAATACAAATTAATTAATGTATATTCCTTAGATTTTTTTTCAGGATTTTCTTTGTGATATTCTGTCTTTCCATGTTAGAATACATCTACCATTAAACGTGCAGAATGATCACATCTTTATTAGTGGGCAAACGAAGAAAATCAGCAAGGGATCAAATACTTCTTGGACTCACTGTATATACAGGGTGAGTCAACAAAAGGGAAAATCTGACCCATGAAATCAATGGGTGAGGGGGTGTTCATGGCCGCCATTTTGAAAGACGCCATCTTGAAATCCGCCACCTTGGACAATGGGCAAGTTTTTATATCAAAATAGACCAGAATTGTCTCAGAAATTGATTGCTCTAATCAGATTTACATTATCTCGTTTGCTACAACGGTTATCAACACAGAAATTTCCAACATGTGAGGACGTTGAAGAATTTTTTAAACAATTCTGCTCTTCATTGATTTTCTACAAGACCACCTCACCCTTGGACTCACCCTGCAAGACTAAATGAATAAAGACCTCAATATGTAGGGCATAAAAACTAAAACGCCATCTCCTGGTACTTTAACAGGAGCATTCATCCACTTAGGAAAAAGTTTTACCTGATAAGAAGAGGTCGGTCTCACACCAGTAGCACTCGTGTTCGTCACAGCTGACACATTTGTCATCGCACGGAACGCAGGTCATCTCTTCTTCCACGCTGTACGTCTTCGCCGGGCAGTTTTTGTAGCAGCCATCCTGAAAGCTGATAAGAAAAAGCAGCGGGTGGATGCCTGCGGCCACACGCGCTCGCAGGAATCCACTCTGTTCTCCCGGCAAAAAAGGGGGGCTTTTCATTCAGGGGGAAGCAGTGAAATGAAAGGCAGAGCGAGTGCAGAGGTGAGATCACACATGGTGACAGCCAGGCACACAGCCTTACTTGTAAAAGCCCTCGGTGCAGGACAGGCAGTGCCTGGGGTTATCTGTTGAAAGCAGACAAAAAAAAACTCAACTCCCCTTTTCAGATGGGAACTACCTGGAAAAACCTTTGAATGTGGCTGGCGCTGATGTGAAAGCTGAGTCCCCTGAAGGGACTTAGCTCATGGGAGGAACAACTATTAGAAACCACGGCTGACTGAGCGGCGACTTACACAAGACGCATTTCTTGCAGCCCTCCTCGCAGGCCATGCATTCGTCGTAGTCCGGATCCTCCACCTCCCCTACGAGCACCGAAAAGACACAAACGAGAAGATGAGGAGATGAAGGCAGATGTGCAATAACCAGCTACTGAACAGCAACACACAACCAACCACACAAACAAAGCTGTGACCTGGTTGACAGAGATTTACAGTAACAAAGTAGAACTACTTAATTACTGTACTTAAGTACCAAAATGGAGTATATATTTTTTCCCTACTTTCACTTTTACTCCACTACAAATTTTTGATTAATTTAATACTTTTACTTTAACCTTCACGGGGTGAATCATTACTCGTTACTGATATGTAAACGTAATGAATCCTCCCGAAGTCATAGTGTCAGAGCCAGAGCTGTTGATAACTCTGTCAGGGTTTGGGAAGCTGGCTCCTCATTGGACGATTTGAGCGATCAAGCATACCCTATTAAAAAAATGCCTCCTGAAAGATTGTGAAATTGTTTGTGACCTAGTGGGGAAATTCCAAGTAGCTGGTTAATCATGAGGTTCACCACCAGGCTTAACTCGCCCCTCTGGCCTTTTGAGATGCTTTTTTTTTGTTTTGTTTTCTGTTTTTTGTAAACACCTGTATTGCCTTTCACACGTTTGAAATAATCTAAACCATATCTATCACACTTTTGACTGCCTTTTGACTACTTGTACTTTTACTTATACTTGTACTTTCAATACTTGAGCAGCAATTTTTGAAATACTTCTACTTGCAATACTTAAGTAAAAAAGTATGGGTAAGTATGGTGCTGAAAGAACACTTCAACTTCTACAAGTCAGTTTTTTTATACGGTACTTGTACGTCTACTCCACTCCTCTACTCCAGTACTTTATACATCTCTGGTGGCTTACCTTCTCCACACTCCAGCTTCACGCAGCCTCCGCCGGACAGGTAGAAGGAGGAGTTGCACCTGAGGCAGTGGCTGGGGCCGGAGCAGAGCTGGCAGTGCTCCGAACAGGGCTCGCAGGTCCTCTCCCCGGTGTGGTAAAAGGCCTCGGGACAGGAGTCCAGACACAGGCCCTGGAACAGGTACCGCTCCACTCCAAACTTATCTGGACACGAAGAGTTGAGTGGTCAAATTGTGGATGCTTTGACTTAAATCAGCATGCAGAGCTCTCCATTTCAATTTACTGACACAATCAATGAAACATTGGCAGCACAGTGGTTATATTTGATGGTAAACGGGTCACTTCTGGAGACAAACCCACAAGAAAAAAAGCATTGATCCGCTGTCACCGCTCTCAAGAGAATCATTTCTACCTGCAGAAAGGAGCTCATCTCAGCAGAGAAGCCATAAAAGCAGATTAAATTAGCACCAAACCTTCTCTGACAGACTCAGTTAGTCTGTTAGTACAGGATGAAAGTCAGCCATACAGCGCCAGAGTCGTATTCAAAGAATTAATAATGAGTGATCCGTTTGACTTTTATCTTGTTAAACAAGACGCACTAATGAAAAAATGGAGCCTCTTTAATAAACCGGTGAAATGAAGGTTTCGAATAGTGATTTTTAGGTAGATTTATACACCCACAATTAAAGCAAAACTAGAATAAGGCTTTTCCTGCAGAACAGCTGTGAAGAAGAGGAAGAAGGAGAAAAAGCCAAAGAAAAGATGAAAAAGACATAGAGTGGAATAAAAAAGGCTGAAGGGAGGAATAATTTGAAAGAGCTGAAAACTAAAGAGTGGAAGATGAAAGGTAAAAGGATTAGAAGAAGAGTAAAGAGTAAAAGGCCATAAAATTATAGATAAGGTACAAGAAGATTTGAACCAGCAACTTCTGGATAGGCAGCCAAACACTCTACCACTGAGCTATACCACTGGGCTATACCATGGGGCTATACCACTGGGCTATACCACTGAGCTATACCACAGGCTTAAGGGCTGCAGAGGAATTCGTAGCAAATATTTGAAGGGGCTGAAATTCTAGTGACCAACAGAGGGAGCCATAGTTTTTGCTCCATTCATTTCAATAGGAGGAATAAGGCATAAAAGGTTAAATATCTTAAAAGGTGGAAAAGATTTGAACGCCAAAATCCATGGCTGCATAGTCCTGAGATAGTTGAACACTTTGATACCTTATTTGTTGAAATAGGCTGAAAGGTGTAAGAATAGTTAGATGCAGAAAAACGTACGGAATATGGAATAATATAGAGAAACAGGAAAACAATAACAAAAGTGCCCAACTGAGGTTTCCAGCTCACCTGGGCATGGATTCTAAAAGTCACCCCTCTGGATCTCCATCTGATGTTAAATGCATCTTTTTAAAGATAATTTCTCCCAAATGTTCCCTCGGGTTGATTTGAGGGGCTGAATGGAAACCTGTCGACTATAACTCTATACAGCTGTTTACACCTTTCCAGTGTCAGTCATTTGCCCCATCACTAAAACTGTCACGTCTGGGGGAAATGTTGGTGTTTTTGTCTTGCCTCCATGTTGTCTTGTCATTTCCTGTTTTATTTTGAAAGTTGCATCCCCTTGTTTCAGGTCACTTGCACTTCCTGTTGTGTCACCAGTCCGGTCGTCTCCCTGATTACCTATTGTGTACACCTGGGGTTCCTTTCCCTCATGTGATTAAATAGTCCTCGTCTCCCCTTGTCCCGTGCCAGTGTATTGCGTTTCATGACCACAGTGCCTGTCTCGACCACAGTTATCCCTTGTCATAGTTAAACCTTGCCTTAGATCCCGTTCCCTGCCATTTTGCCTCCTGCGTTTTTGCCTCTATTGAGTGCTTTTCCGTTTTCCTCCTAGATGATCATTCCTAGTGAGTATTTCTTTGTTACTTTGTACCTTGCCCATAGTCTTGTTTATTGTTTTGATACGTTGTTCGCAGCTTGGTCTTCCTCATTAGAGTGATTATATTTAGATACTTTGTTCATAGTCTTGTTTATTGTTTTTGGTACTTTGTCTCCACTCTGAGAGTGCGTTTTCTGTTCAATACAACTCCTGGAACTAACCACCTCTCTGCGCCTGAGTCCTCCCTAAGCTCCACCCTCCTGACAAAAACAGAGCCATGGATCCTTCTCCTTTTCGTTTGTCCGCCACCGGACGGGGCCCTTGGTTTCTCACCGGTGTCGCAGCTGGTGCAGTTGGCCGGCCCGGCCTCCACACAGGTGGCGCAGGTGTGGTCGCACAGGTGACACTGCCCGCCGGAGTGGTGCTTGCCCCTGGCGCAGGCCTCCACGCAGCGGCCCTCGTCCAGGACCCCGCTGCCAAAAGAAACCCATGAAAACCCGGGAAAATCAGCATATTTAAATGATGTCTTTGTAAACGAGCCAAGCTAATCTGCATTCCAGCATCCACCATATGGCGCATTTTTTAGTGGAACCGAGTGACTTAGCAAACGGAGAGGAGAGGCACAGGGAAGCTGGAGGAATTAGATTTTAGATAATAGATTTTATGCATCTATAATTAAAATTCATGATTATCTGACGCTATGCTGATGTTAAATGCTGTGCGAATAAAGTTTTAAGCAGACTCTGAGCCATCAGGTCCCAATATAATTAAGCAGCATGACAAATATAGTGTTAGTCATAACAGAACGAGGTGGAAAGAGCACTTATCTGATAAACACATCGAATTAACTGATGAAACAGAAGAGAACTTATATCCTTTTTTGATTTTGATTAATGCTTGCTGCTGAAAATGTATCCTTTTCTTTGATTTTTAAAACCTGGAGGTAAGTTCCTGGGTCTGGATTTGTAAAAATAAAGCTCAGAATAAGCAGCAGGCGGTTTCACATCCAGTGGAAATCATTGCAGCACCGTTTTCGACATCTTTCTGACACTGAAGCCTCTATTTGAGCGGAGTGGAGATCCTTTGAACTTCCTTATGATTGATTCAGGTGCCTGTATCTTTTGATGGCCTCACTCCCCAAAGAAAAAGACTGTTACATGTCCTGGTTTCCAGCAGCGGGGCTTTAGTCAGACCCACATCGTGCTTAGCAATGTTTTCAAACACGTGCAAATCTAATCTTTAATTTGCCACGGCTACAATAGCAGCAAAGCTGCTAAATCTAAGTGATTATCGCCTAATGCTGTGATCAGCAGTGAGTTAGCATTTAGCTCTCGGATAGCGCTAGTTTTCCTTTGGAGATCAGAAAGCGGCCACCCTCACCGTGGAGGAGCACAGCTGATGCAGTCCTGGCTTTTCGGCCCTGTGCACCGCAGACACGTGGCATCACACGCCTGGCACGCCCCGCCGCCGTCATGGTACTGGCCTGACACACCAAGACAAGCGGGCTGAGTCACAGATGAATAACCGTCTCGGGCACGGATGAGGGCTTCACATGAGAGGCCAGAGATGGGAAGCCGCATAAAACCGAAACGCAGACGACTAAACAACAATTTCCCTGCAAACATACTGGTAGAATCTGGCTATAATTACTCACTTTAGCATTGTATGCTATCACATGATCTATGTGTATTACAGATTTTTTTTTACTTCTATATTACTATATTTATTACTATATTTTGTGTTGAAGTCTCTGGCTGTGTCCAAAGACTCTCTTTTCTCTCCTTTTCTTTCTCTGTTGCATTAGATCCACCTTTAGGTCAACACAAACACACACCATTTGTTACCACATTACAATGTCATCTGCATGAATTAGGACCTGGCCTGTTCCTGCCCAGAGGTAACTGGCCAATAGGACTTGGTTGTGTCCAGTCCTCGTTTGAGGAGGCGGATCAAGCCCAGGAGATAATGCCCATCACCCAGATCTGAGGGCTCTTTGCCCACTGAGACCCAGAGAGAGGTTTTTGTCTGTTAGAGCCCAGCTGATACACTTAACTGTGACCAATAAATTACATTTTTTTATACTTTTGATCCACTCTGGTTTATTCTCAGGTTTCCAACTAAAGAATCGTGCTAACAATACAAAAGAGGAAACTCTTCCCTGAGCAGACTTTCAGATGCACAGCGGCGTTTAGAGCTAAACGCGCCATGTTAGCATTATAGCTGCCCGGCGGGCGTTAGCAAACACAAAAACAGAGCAGGGAGTCGGTTGGCTGACCGTCTGTGCACGCGGCGTTCACGGCGCACGCTCCGGCCTGCAGGCTGTGGCCGCTGGAACAGCTGCTGCAGTCCCCGCGGCCGGGCCCCACACAGGTGGGGCAGCTGGCGTCACACCTGAGGAGAACAGCGGAGAGGCTGAGCACACACAGGCTCAAACGGGCGAGACAAAGAACTGGGGGAGAGCAAACAGAGAAAAGACCCAGGCCATGAAGACGGGCGCCAAAAGCAGCAAAAACACACACATACACACACAGACACACACATACACACACATACTCACACACACATACACACACACACACACTCTCACACACACGCACACTAGTATGCTCAGAAAAATTAGGACCAAAAAATGTCCTCGCATTTCCACGTGTCCTCAAATTTCCACGTGTCCTGATATTGAAAGTGTGTATTCACATAATTGTCCTGATATATCATAAAAACAAACACACACACACACAGACACACTCACACACACTCACACTCTAGTATGCTCGGAAAAATTAGGACCAAAAAATGTCCTCACATTTCTACGCGTCCTGATATTGAAGG